CAAACGGGCCCGCCGGACAACAGTCCAGCAGCGTTCAAACAGCCTAAGCGGCGCTCCAGAGTCCACCGGCCCGACGAGCACGACATCATTATAGGTGACAGAAGCGACCTGCTGACGTGCGAAATCGTGACTCCAACTCCTGACTCCGACGCGGGCCGTCCGTCTCCTCCCACCATCTTCTTCTACTCCCTCTTCCCCCCCCAGTCAGTTCCATCCCGTCCGCTACTATCCATCCGTTACCCGCAAACCCGAGACTTCTCCTCTCCTCTCCTCGCCCTTCCTCTTGAGCACGTCATGTTTGATCTTGGTTGTTTGTGATTCGAGTCTCGCGGATCCGGCCACCTCACTTCTTCCATCTGCGCAATAATGAACAGCGACTGCCCTTCTTTTTCTGTCTAATTGTCAGTTCTTCCCTTGGCTACCCACAGCCGACCAAGGCCCATATCTCCAATTCGACAATCCGTACTCGCTTCCACGCATCTCCGAACCCGACTGAACCTCCCACACGACCAACCCGTCATTCACCATGGCGCGAGCCGCAAACACCCCAACCCCGTCCGATGACCGGACCCTCGTTGCGGGAGCTCACGACGACGACGATGCTTCCTCCACAATCAGCCGCTTCAGCTCGAGATCCTCCTTCGACTCCCAAACACCACCGAGGCGGAAACGTCCAAGCCCCCGCGCGGCCACCACCCTCCGAGCAATCTCCTTCGTCGCGGCATTGATCTCGGCCCTCTGCGCGGGCTCCATCACCGTCTTCTCCATGTACGGACACATCTTCCAGGAACGCCTGCACTACACCCAGTTTCAGGTCAACGGCCTAGCCATCAGCAGCTCCGTCGCCCTCTACCTCCCCGTTTCGTTCCTCGGCTACATCTGCGACCGCGTCGGCACCCCGCCCTTATCGCTCCTGGCGGCTATACTCTTCAGCGGCGGCTACGCCATCGCCGCGGGCACGTACCGGAAGCTCGAGGCGGAGAACCTCGGCGGGCTGCGCGATTACGCCGGACGGCGCATCGGCGGCGGCGCCGACTGGACGTACCCGCTCATGATCTTTGCTTTCGTCTGCGTGGGCGTCGGTACGTGCTCCATGTACCTCGCCGCCGTCGCGACGTGCGCCAAGAACTTTGGCAAGGGAAAGCATCGCGGACTGGCGCTGGCTGTGCCGATTGCCGCCTTTGGGTTGAGCGGCATGTGGCTCAGTCAGTTGGGCAGTCACGTCTTTTACGAGCGCTTGCCGGACGGCTCGGCTGGAGACTTGGACGTGTTCCACTTCTTCGTCTTCCTCGCCATCCTGCTTTTGGTGGTGGGAGTGACTGGCTCTTTCACGCTAAAGGTTGTCGACGAAGAAGAGATATTCGAGGAAGCCGTTGAGGAGCTGGAGCGAAGCGGCCTCTTGGAGCGTAGCACTTCCTTCCTCAGTGCCCGCAGTCTTGAACGTAGTAGAAACTACGGCGCAATCGGACAGATCGACGACGAGGAAGACGGCGGCGTCTTGGGACCGGCGGAAGACGATGCCAAGCTCAGGAAGAAGCTCGTCCTCAACGCCGAGACCAGGAGCTTCCTCACGGACAAGACCATGTGGTGCTTCGCTCTCGGATTCCTGCTGATGATTGGACCCGGTGAAGCCTTCATCAACAACCTGGGCACCGTGATTGGCACGCTGTACCCTCCCACCATGCACTACGTCGGACCTCCGACCTCGGCCGCGACGCACGTCTCCATCGTCGGCATCACCAGCACCATCGCCCGTCTCGCAACCGGCACCCTGACAGACCTCCTCGCGCCCTCGCCGCAGACGCAGCACCTGCAAGTCTCCTCCACGTCGCCCTTCCTCCGCGGCAGACCCACCATCTCTCGCGTCGCCTTCCTGCTCTTCTTCGCCATCATCCTGTCCCTGGGCCTGGTCGCCTTAGCCTCCGGCCTCATCCAAGAGCACGGCGAGCGGTTCTGGATCGTGTCCGGTCTGATTGGCTCCGGGTACGGCGCCGTCTTCAGCCTGACGCCCATCATCATCACCGTCATCTGGGGCGTCGAGAACTTTGCGACAAACTGGGGCATCGTCGCCATGTTCCCCGCCCTGGGCTCGACTTTCTGGGGACTGGTGTACTCAGCCGTCTACCAGTCTGGCGCTGAGAACTCTCCCCAGCGCGGCGGCGGCAGCGGCGGTGGCGGAGACGTCTTTTGCTATGGCGCGCAGTGTTACGCGCCGACGTTCTGGGCCATGGCCGTCACTGTATGGGTGGCGTGTGGCATGATCCTCTTTGCCTGGAAGGGCAAGGGTGGATGGGCGCAGCGCGGCATCATCATCTAACTCGTCAAACATCACTGTTACTACAACATTACATCACATAACACATCTTTCTTTTTTATTGTCAGGCATGGGTATCGGCGTTTGGGCAAGAGCATTTGGGTTGAAGAAGGCGTGTCATATCTATTCCGCCGTGGTTTCATTGGGGTATATAATCGCGTAAAGTCATAAAATATCCGGGCCAGTCCTGTTTTCCCTCTCGTGATCCAAAATTCGCTCTCGCATCGCACACACACATACTTTCTGTCTCTCTTTCTCTCTCTCGTTCTCTCGCTATGTTTTTGTGTCATTCGATCATAGCATCATGATTGCTACCAAGGTCGCAAGCGCCATAATCAGGCCCGCCACCAGAGGCGTGCTCGTCCTCGCACTCGCGTTCTGCTGGTCGTACTCACTCATCGTCTTCATGCAGATCCATTGCGAATACAAGAGCTTGTCAAACAAGACGCTCATGACGGGCGTGTACCCGTTCAGCCCGCCTGTTGGTTTTGTCGTGCTCCCGTCCCCGTCGAGAATCAGCTCCACGTCGGTCAGCTTGAACATGTCGTACGACTGCGGCAGCGTCGGGTGGCAGTCGTTGTTGTCGTCTGCGTCGCCCGCGTCCTGCGCCAGCACGGTCGGGGCGTCCGGGCCGATGACGTCGACACCGGTGATGTTGACGGCGCCGGCGACGAGGTTGCAGTGGAAATCTTTATCTGTACGCGTCCGCTCCTCGAGGTACATTGCGATTTCCTGGCACCGGGGTAGGGTCTCGTCATTGGAGTGGGCGGTGCGGAAGTCGTCTACGTAGCCCGTGATCTCGTCCATACAGGACTGCTGGAGCCAAGGGCTACAGTCTGTGGTGTCGAGGTCGGGTACCTCGTGCGGTGTGGGCAACGTCTGGAACATGTGCTGGAAGATGAGGGCGCATCCCTTGGGGTAGCTCTCCGACGAGAGATTCAGTCCTGCGGGGGCGCCTAGGTAGTAGGATTGGGTATAGAGCTGCTTCTTTATCCAGCTGGGGGAGTTTGCCGGGGCGGGGGAGTTGGCGACTGTGGCGACGGTGAGGGAGAGCTTGCGAATGTCGGTGGTGTTCTTGTCGTCTATGGGTATGTCGAGAACCTCCGGGGCGATGCCGACGCGGCGGAGGACGGAGCCGGCGAGGGTACAGTTCGACTCGCCGACGAGGTCGTCGACGGCGCCGGGCGGGCAGTCTACATCGGCGCAGCCTTTTAGAGAGACCTCTGTTAGGATGGGGACCGTTGCGAGAGCGGGCCCGGACCCCGCGAGGACCGTGAGGAGGGAGGTCCCCATGAGGCTCGAGGACCAGAGCCTCATTCTAGAGGGGGTGTATCCGTAGGGGACACCGGCCGGCGGGATGGACTGGAGTTGCTTTCGTCTCGGTTGAGTTGGTTTACGTCAAGTGTTCAGGGGAAAGCGTGTTGAGAGGGACCCGGAGACGGGAAACCGGCAAGAGGCCACGCAGGGCCAAGACCGCGATGAACAATTGGGGCCTGGGCTGAATAGGTATAAAGACCTGGGTCCCGGGACGCGAAGAGAAGAGCAGCGCGGTGGGCGCGCCGGGCTCTGCTCTGCTCTGCTGCGGCGTGCGCTGCCTGGTGGGATGCTGCGCAGGTTCCGCAGGACGATGAGAGGTGGTTCGTCTGGCACGGAAGTACGGCAACGACGGGTGAGGTTTTTGGTCTCGGCGCCGTGGTTGTTCGCGGGCGGGGTGTGGGGTGCGGGTTGCTTTGCGGTAGGTTTGTGCGTGGTGTGTTGTGCTGGCTTTGCCGACCTATGCGGACTGCTGGGCAGTGGATGGGCAGAAAGAGCTGATGGAGTTCTGGCAGAAGCAGATGAATGTGCTAGGGCCGGTGAGTGGTCGATGGTATCACCAACACCTTTGTCGCTGGCTTCATCGTTCGACCTCGCGTCGTTGTTGTTGATTCCTGCATTGACTTTGGAGGAGTCGAGAATTTTCCTGGGCAGAGCGCCGAGAAAAGGAAAAACGTGAGCAGAGAGGCAGACCAGAGACGGGCAGCCAGGAGCGGGGTGAAAACCACCACAGCAGGAAGTACTTCGTACAGACACTGGCAAGACTGGGCAAGAACTGATCACAGATTACATCAATGAGCGAAAAAGCAGCAACAGCGGGCGAGAGGGTCGCGTGGTGGAAGGTGATAGGCGCCCAGAAGGTGATTCTTTCCTTGGCATTCCTTGGCGCTCTCACCGTCTGGTTGGCTTATCTAAGGATTTGAGGTAAATTCCTCAATTCCTCTTCGTCCACGAACTGAATTTGATGGTTTTTGAATGTCGAGTTGGCGTTGATTTGTTTGTGATTCTCAATTGAGTTGCTATAAGATGAGATGGCAGGTGAAAAAAAACTCACGTTATACTCATCTCAAGTGTGTCTTGAGCACTGAGGAATGGACGGTGAGTTTGGGTTGAAGAGTGAGTGTGAGAGTGAGGTACCTAACCTGAGAGGGGGGGTGGTGGGGTTGGGGATGACTAACCAGCCTGGAAACTACCTACCTTAAACTGCGTCCGATCTAATCCCCGGATAAGGTACCTGAGGTAAGCTTAAACTTCGGACTTTGCAAACAGCTCCTTCAACTTCACTCACTCCCACTCATCCAACATTCCTCATGTTCATGTCCTTTCTGCGGCTCATGCGAACCACTCTTTCTTGCTTCAATAGCCGCTACGAATGATGTTCGTGACGACATTGGACCCGGCCGTCTACCAACTGAGACACAACTACCGTTACGCTGAGGCATTGAGGCAGTGAGGCTGTGCTGGAGTTGGTGCTCGACGCCTGGTTGCCCTACTTCAACCTGACCAATCTTGAGAGCCCAAGATGAATTTTTACGCGTCCAATCTTCCGCATATGCGTAGATACGCAAGAAAGGTGAAGCGGTATGCTTGACCGAATCTTGCATTTGTGCTACTAATGGCACGCTCGATCGCCCTGTTTCTCGTGCAATGTGCCATTCTTTTTCCATTTAAAGTGATGTTGCTCCCCCTTTGCCAGAATTCCCCTCCACCTCACCTCGCCCAGCCTTGATCTCTTGGTATCATTAGACCGCAACCATCAACAATCCACATCCTACAGCACTCTTAGCATGATCGAGACTACTCCCGAAAATGAATGCCCCATCCTTCCATCAGTTGTGCTCCAGCCTGACACCATGGAGATGACGAAGCCTCTGAAACAGGCATTGGAAGGAGCCATGTGTCGCTCCTTCAGTCTCGATGGTGACTCTTCCAAGGAGTTCCTTCCCGAGCCCGATATCAACCGAATTCTTTCCGAGAAGTCGATACTTGGAGCTCTCCGGACTTCCTGCCCTGGAGCCGACTTCATGCGCCGCATGTATGCCTCCGCAATCGTCAAGGAGAAGAAATACACCAAGATATTTGCCATCCTGGTCTTGATTGGTCGAGCCGATGCCATCGCAGCCTTCAGACAGAATCACCTCGACGATTCGCAACTTCCATTGGCATTTGCTTCCACGTCGGGAGAAGAGACGAGCACATTGGTGCGGTCTACAGTCGCCCGATCTAGCTTCGATCTATCCTTGATGGGACTCAGTTACTACGAGTCGATACTCTTGGAGGAGACACAGTGGAAGTTTCTTGCCCCTGTGTTTGCGCGAGCTGATCTCGATAGCGAGACTCGCAACTTCCCGGCGTCTACTATCCTGCCTTTCGTCATGCCTGACTCTCCCCATGGAATCCAAGGGCCTCGCAATGGTTGCAGCAAGAACTCCCGCATATATCAGGCCCACCTTCACGACGGCCATCACGACTTTCCCGTCTCTACAGTCGCAGTCAAGCAGCTTCTCAACGCTGGACCGGAGGAATACGCTCGCGAGGTGGAAGCCCTCAAGACCTTTGGCGGCCCCGATCAACCCCATGTAATTGAGCTGCTTGCCACCTTCAAGCATGGAGATACCTACTACTTGGTGACTCCTTGGGCTGAACACGACCTTCACGGCCTCTTCACCGAACCGCCATCCTCCTTGGCTTGCGACTCAGCCAGCGCGGTGAAGCCTACGAGCATGACCGCGAAGCAAATGCTTGGTGTCGCCGAGGCCTTGAAGGCGATCCACTACTGCCGACTGAAGAAGCGCTCCATCGCGAGAGACCACGAAACGGCTGAAGAAGTCGATGGGGGCTACCACGGCGACATCAAACCTGAAAATATCCTCGTCGAAAATGGGCAGTGGAAGCTGGCTGACTTTGGCCTATCCCAGATCGGCCGCAAGCCAGACTCTTCGCAAGGAGACAGACCTGCAGGCTGTTCACCGGCGTATCGTGCTCCAGAGCATGATGTTGGCAAGTTTGATGGCCAAAAGGCAGACATTTGGTCTCTTGGCTGCGTCATGAGTGTCGCTGCTACGTGGATGACTCTGGGCCGGAAGGGGGTCATGAAATTCAGCGCCAATCGCCAGACAAAGACCGGTAAACGGCTCGACAACTCCTTTTTCGAGGTTTCCAAAGACCAGGAAAAGGGTACTCGAGTGAAGCTCAAAGCCGCTGTCTCTGACGTGAGTACCCGATGGATGTGTATTCGTATTATGCGTGGGTGCTAATGCAGACTTGAACAGTGGATCAGTCGACTCCATCGGGCCCCGAAAGCGAGTTCCTTCATTCACGACTTGCTTGATTTGATTCAAGACAAGATGCTGGAAGTTGATGGTTCCAAGCGAATAGCTTGCGCTGGTATTGTCTCCAGCCTCGAGAAGATGTACGAAAAGTGTATAGACGACCCAGGCTACACAGAGCCAGCTCCTCGAGGAGAAATGTCAAGTTGGGCATGCAGGCATGAGCTCTCAGTTGGGACCGCGCGTCGTGAAGCTCGGTCAATCACTGTCAACGTGGTCGAAGTACCAAGCCCAACACAACGCAGTCAGCCATTCTCGACGCGTGTACCACAGTTCAACTCTTCCTACTCGTCTACCGGCTCCTACAACTCGGAGTATGACGATACGATTGGCTTTCCCTTGGCTGCCTCATCGACAGAGCCACTTTTAACTTTTGGGCCTTCCGCCAATACCATGAATCAGTCGAACATTGTATATGGAGGCATGAACCTCACCATCTCACCTGACATGGGTCAACTCGGATCTCCAAACTTGGAAGAATACTCGTTCTCTTTTGGAGACCCCCCAACATCTCGTCCGAGTCTGACTGTTCCTGAAAACACCAAGAATGGGAAGCGGCGCTGTAGCACCAGCAACGAGAAATCTGCAGTCAAACGACGTAGGTTGCAGAAGCCGCCAAGAAAGAGCTCTGCAACCACACAGGGAGCGGAAAGCTCTTTTGACTTAGTCTCAGAGTCACCGACAACCAGTCCAGATGTAGAGGGCGCTTTTGCATGCCATTATTTCAAGCATGACCCTGAGAAATACTGCAAGGGGAAGTGGAAGTCGTGTGGAGGAGCCGGTTGGCAAGAATTTCACAGGCTCAAGTAAGCTTTCTCTTCCCCCTTCTGACATGTGTAACGCGTCACGCAGATGGAATAAGATTGCACCGGTTAACATGTTATCATAGGGAACACCTTCGTCGCAACCATCGCGAACCTGGATACAAATGTAGCAGGTGTCAAGTGCGACTGTCATCGGCAGAAAAGCTCAATAACCACTACAATTCTGAAGTTCAATGCCAAAGGCAACCTGCCATCGTCGATGATAACATGGACGACGCTCAGTGGAGCTCTTGTCAAGGACAGATGCGCGGGATGAATGGAGCCGGCAAGTGGGGGGAGATCTACAAAATCATCTTCGGACCGACATGTCCAGAGGTCATGCCTTCACCCTGTATGTGTCCTTCATATTGCCCAGCTGGAGCTGCCGTAAGGCCAAGCACGAACATACTGCTGACTACTGCTTAGATCGCGACGAACTTGATGAACTTGATAAATTCTGCAAGTTCCTGGACTCACAGAGACAATTTCAGACCTGTGACAGCATTCAGCGGGAGATTGCTATATGTCTGAAGTGGATTCGCGAATTCCAGGACCAACCGTCTCTCACACAGTCGTCTATCAAATCCGAAGTGCCGTCGTTGACCGAGGGCTTGTCCAATATCTCGACACTGTCCACTGATGTCATGGCAACGAGCATTGACCAAGAGCAGATTTACTACGCATATAATCCAACATTCGATTCTAGTTGTCAACAGATTGGAACGATGACGCAAGATCATTCGGTTGTTAACCTTCAATATCTTGGGTGTCATTTGAATTTTGGACCTTAAGGTATCTGATGTGAAGGAAAAGCCGGGCTGCTGGCACTGGCACAGCATGTGTCAATCCTCTCATTCCTTGAAAGTTCCTAGATTTCCTTGTTATGATACCCAAATTTTTGTCATCTCTTGTTTGCTTTCATCATGTTGAGGTGTATCGAGATCAGATTTTCTCTTGGAATAGAAAATCGCCATCATCTACGAGGTGAGAGTAATGGCATCTTCCCTAACCCAATGGAACTTCGCAATCTCTATGTGATCTTCAAGCTGCGACTGAGGACGACTTCAGCTCCATCTGAAATGATTTTTCTTATCCTGGTTTGTGATTGTGACAGATTTTTGATCAACGTCAAGCATGCATCGCTGCCGCGTCTGTTTACGTCAACTCTTGGGACAAGATGGTCATCCAAGCAATGATGACACATGCAAAAACGAGGTCATAACCAAAAGCCCAGACCGATCACGAGCAGGGGAAATCCCAAAGTCATTAATCAATGCCGCTTTAATAAGACTGAACTAACCAGACTAAGTACGCACAATACCAGGAACCCAAACACCAGAACTCAGTCGCGTTCCCCGGTCCTATGACACATCACGAACCACAGTAGACTTTATGAAAAGATCTAAACGAAAGCGATGAGGCTTTCAACTAACACCCACACCCACAAGATTTACACCCCTTCCCGCACCCAACATCATCCAAATTTGCACAATCGGAATCTCTATCGCACGTCTGCCAGTCTCCGTACCCCCTATTCCGCGCAGTCCAGCACCACCGCCCGTCCCCGTTGCACGCCTTGTAGCAGTAGCCCCCCGAGCAGCCGTAGTCGCCCGGATCGACGTCCCAGCAGTTACCCCAGCCGCCGCCGCCACCGTGCCGCCAGCCCCAGCTCCAGCCCCAGCGATTTACGGTTGTGGAGTTGACTCCTCCGCTCACTTTGTTGTCTGCGGACGCAGGACGGGGTCCGACGGCGTGTTCGGGTCGAGGGGCCAGGCCTAGGGGGTGGTCCTGGCACGTGCGGATCTGTGCGGGATCAACCCCATTGCCACCGGCGGCGGAGGTGTCGAGGGATGCGGCGGTGTATGTCATTACGCCGAGGGATCCGCACCGTTCGGCGGTTGTGGCTGGGGCTACAGCTGCGAGGATGGGGGTGGCGAGGAGGAAGAGGTGGGAGGTCTTCATTATGTGTGAAGGGGTTGAACAAGGATCGGTGGGATAGAGTGAGATGGCTGAAGCGTGTTTCTCAGGATTGAGTTTGCGAGGGATCCGGGTGCGAGGAGTTTGGTGCGAATGTCCCGACTGCGTGGATAGAGTTTAGATTGGCGGGAGTCTCGGGAATTTTGGATGCTTGTTTATGATGATTTGTTGGAAACAGGTTTGTTGACGATGATGACAGGGAGGATGAGGGTGTGGGTGCTGTCACTGTCTTTTCAGATGGGTGAAGAGATGTGATGGATCTGTATTCCCAAGAGTTGAAGCTGGTAAAGAGGGTTGCGCCAAATTCTTATACTTGGGTTTCCTACACCCTTTTTCAAGTCAGTAGTGATCATGTCCGTTGATCTCCGTCCTCGTCCCAAAGTTTTGATCTCGATGAAGCTTGAAATTGCCGTCACCTCCGCTATACTCCGTTGAAAGAGCAAGTTTAACATGCGAACACGGAATCTGCGGGCATCGGACTTGGCGGAGTGATGACTCCTGAGATACCTTTTCGATCTTGCTTTGAAGCCGGACCGAGGCTCGACTTACAAGAAAGTCTTCCGGTACCTTCGGTTTTCTGGAAAAGCCCGCCTCTTTTGTCTGAAAGGATATTCAACATCATTTCGAAGTGCTGATAATGACCGAGTCCGAGCTCATCGACAGCTTGATTACGAGAACACCTACAAAGTCATCGCCAAGCTTGTTCCGAAGTAATCCGAGGCATGTTTTTCACCCAGCCTATGTGATGAGTCCTGATGTCACTCTTCAATCTCTTTCTCCCAGATATTCGAGTTCATCATGCTACAGAGTTCATGAAAACTCCGAGATTCGAGGCGGCGTCACTGGGAAGTCGACTCGACTTGAGCTTGAAGTCCGGCATCCAATATCTTGCATACTTTCCGTGACGTCCCGCCACTTTGACACCAGATGGATATCAAGTAATAGCGGTTACATCCGTCATCGTCTCGATGCTATAGACCGCACATGTGATCTAGATTCTTTTTGATTATCTGCTGCTGCCTGAGATCACTGTATCATAGCATGCCGGCTGCACGACTCAACGCCCACAAAGTTACGAGTGGACAGAGCGCTTTGCTGAGAGGTCAGAGTGTTTTGATGTTTAACCTGGAGGCAGACATATTGTGTCGGGTCGGAATCGTCAACTCAAAATCGAAATCAATTGCATCTACGTTTCAAACTTTGATTCGTAGAAATCGTGACAACAATGACAAAGGTATATCGCAGGCGAATGCCAGTGTTGGAAGATTCTTCGATACATGTGAACTATTGCATACTACATTTTGAAATATGCTTAAAGTCTCCCATTGGAGTGTCAACTATCTTACTGGGCTTTCTAATCAAGCTAGGTTGAGAGCTACAAGGATAACTTATGCTTGTGCTGTTCACAGGGGTGAACCAAGACTACAATGGACCTCTGACCCTACGCTTGTCTCATCATGCGAGCGCTCGATAGTGCATCAGAATTCTCTATCCTCAATTCCCATGAATCCAATTTCAGTCACCTGAACTGCCTTAACAGCATAATGGCTGAGTATGCTTAAGACCTAGGTTTAGTAGATACTGCATCAAAGCTTAGACAATCTGTCACTGCCATGCGCCGCGAGTCTAGGTCGCGCTGAAATGGAGATCCCTTCCAACTTTCCCTCGTTCCTCCATTTACCAATATACTCCAAGAAAGAGACCGTACCTTCAGCCCACACGACTCCCCGTGCCTGCTTGGCCCTCTCTCTAGGGTCGTCTGAGGCCGCTTGACCGTGTCCGTTGAAGTATCCCGGGGTACATCCCGCAAGCGATGAAAAGAACGGGGCCCTCTTCGCAACTTCCAGACTGTGCTGTTCCTCTGCCTCTCGAGTCACCTCGACGATGGCCCTTTGACCAGCACCGACTCGTTTCTCAGCCTCGGAGACGATGTACGTGACATGTCGAGCAATGAGACCCAACATGAACACATTGTTGCCTGTGATGGTACCCTGAGACGTACCAGAGAAGAAGAGGTTGGGAAACTCGTTCGTGAGGTATCCATGCAGTGTGGCAGCGCCGTTGCGACGCCATTTGGCATCCAATGAGATGCCATTACGTCCGAGAAGCTCGATGCCGACTCGTTCTGCTGGACTTCCTCCCGTGCGACCACCGGTGACGGAATAGCCTGTGCTAAAGATGATGATGTCGACGGGATACTCCTCACCGGCGATGACGATGCCTCTCTCTGTGGCATGAGATGGCCCCTTACCGTTGGTGTCGAGGAGATGTACATGCGGATCGTTGAAAGCCTGTAGATACTCATCGCTGAATGTTGGACGTTTACACCAAGAGGGGTACCAGGGCTTCAATCTCTCCGCGGTTCCTTCATCCTTCACGATGCTGCTGACTCGAGCGCGTACACGTTCCATATGTGGCAGGTCCAGGGCATGGAACCAGGTGGCCCTTCGGTCTTGGTCTTCTGGGGAAGGGTTGACGATGCCATGGGCGGGCGAACCCATGACCGCGGAGTAAGCGGGCATATCGGTCCAGCCATCGTTGACCAAGTTGGGCTGGCCTGGCAAGAGGGCGTTGGTCATGTGTCGGTTCAAGTTGATCTGCCTCTCGAATTGCCAACCTCTCTTTCTGGCGACAGTAGCTTTGAAAGTTTCGGGGTCTGTGTCTTGTTGACCGCGTTCTTTGACGTATGCTGGTGTTCGCTGCACCACGTACAACTCCTTTGCGAACTTGGCGAGCGTGGGGATTGCTCCTATGGCCGTTGCGGCCGTGCCGACTATCGCGACCCTCTTGTCTCGCAAGTTGGTGAGTGTTTGATCTTCTTGAGATCCTCCGGTGACATCGTAGTTCCATCTAGACGTGTGGAATATGTCCCCTTTGTAGGAAAGGAGACCGGAAATCTTTGGCACTTGTGGTTTTGTGAGAACACCCGCGGCCAGGCAAACATACTGCGCCTGGATCTCTTGCTTGATCACAGGTTCTCCAGGACCACGTCTCTCAGAGAGACTGATATTCCAGAGTTCCTTCTTATCGTCCCACTGCACACTACGCACGTCAGACCGGAACAGAGTCTTGTCGTCAAGCTTCCATCGCGACGCAATGAGTTCCGCATATCGTCGGATTTCCGCGGCCGGGGCGTACTTCTTGGTCGGGACGTAACCAGTTTCCTCAAGAAGAGGTAGATAGCAATAGCTCTCGAGGTCGCAGTGCAGTCCGGGATACCGATGCCAGTACCAAGTCCCGCCAAAACCGCCAGCCGCATCAACGATTCGTATTTCGTCTGCGGTTGCAACACCAGATTCAATGAGGTTTACCGCGTACAGTAGGCCTCCGAATCCGGCTCCTAGAACGAAAAATCGGGTATGCTTGGTATCGCGGAATGGCGATGGTTTGGCATTCAGTCTTGCGTGATCCGCCCACGGATCATCGAGAAGTGAGTGTAGTCGATCCTCTGAGGCTTCGTTGAGGGGTTGAAATTGTGCAGAGCCTTCTGGTCTCAGCCTCTTCTCTGCTTCCTCGGCATACTTCCTCCTGACAGCCTCAAGCTTTTTGGCGTCAACGTGAGAGACAGGGTCTTGCGGTGCGGGTGCCGACATATTCTGTGTCGCGTTTGAGCTTCTTCAATTGAGTCGAATGGAAGAGGTGATGTGAGACTAGTGGCAGTGACAAACATACGTATAACAACTACTACAAAAATTACACCTGTTCACCCCTTATTCTCGATCAAATTGTCTCTGGCTTTGACTTCATATACTCGCCGCTGTTGCTGGCCCGCGTTTGGATGATAAGGCAAGCCGCACGCCATTACAAGGCCTTC